AAATTCGCCTGTAAATATATATATATATAAAAAAAAAAATTTTTTTTAATTTGTACTTACATAAGGCCAAGCATAGGACCAAAATCAAGGGTCCTAGCGCAAAAAATCTTGCCATATCCAAAGGTTCAAACGCTGCTTCTAAGACACCATATGTCCTATTTGAAACAGACACAGATCTGGGTTAACCATCAGAAAGCGTAATGGCTTTTTGGTCTCTCTTGCTCTGTTTTCATGTAATCTTACGTGTTCTCATGCGTCTAATCAGTCGGTTCTGTTGCTGGTGAGTTTTCACCTTTAAAAAAATCCTTAAGCAGTTTTTTTTGGGGTCTAGAGACAGCAGAGCAGTGTCAGAGACACTCTCTCCTTCAGCTTTGAGTTAAGGCCCTTTCTTAACAGGAAGTTGCTTTTTCATCTACGCCACACATCTCTCGCCTTCTACTGTGTCATGTCTTTCAAATGGGAAATGAGAGAAAATGATCTCATTTTTGCTTTTTTTTCTTTCGACGACCTGCATCTATAGTGAGTGCCACACCTTCAGAAGATGCACATTTAAAACTAAAATCACCTCCAGTTTAATGTGTGAACATTTCAAATCAAATGTCAAATACACAGAAAGTGTTACAGCACATGGATCAAAACATCACCCACATTAGCCGGGCAAAATATTATTTCGATAAATATCAGCACTATTTGAAGTCTAATTCAAGGACTGGAACAAAAAAAATAAAACAGATAAAAATAAAATAAAATAAAATAAAATAATACATAAATAGAAATAAATACATTTTTGTATGTATGTGTGTATGTATATATACACTAATAACCGTAGTGTACATAATGTACCAGAACAGGCCATCTTCTACAGGGGAAGAAGAAAGAATGTTCAAAATTTCTTAATATTTTGCTGTCACTTGCTGTGACTTCTATGGTTTTATACAATTTTTTTAAAATCAATATGTTACTGGAAGCCATATTGGGAATACAATCATGGCCAAAGGGTTTGGCTCTGTACCCCATCACTTAAGCATAATAGTATAAACGTTGCTAATGTACATTTCCATATATTGTATTTTAAGTATGATATGATTATCTTCTATGTGCTGAATATGCCTGTTTAATATGACCAAACCAATCTAATATCTGATTGTCTAAGTGACATTTATGAATTAAACATGGCTCATGTACACACTAAAACGGTTTCGTAAAACATTATGATATTAATTTTTCATCCTCAATTTACATAAATGCTTCTTGACTATTCCTCACTTTCCAAGCTACTCTGCATGTAGGCAGCGCTGCAAGATACCACTTCCTTGCTTGTTCTTATTTTTTTTCTCTCCTCTCTTTTTTTGGTTTCCCGCCTGTTTGAGGAAGTAGCACAGAGAGAGGCGTGCAAAGATGAAAACTCAAAGTGACAACCTATGACTGTATGAACACAGATAACAGAGTAAGATAGTTACGAACTTCAAATATCAATCATCAATGAAGAGAATTCAAAGAGACTGATTGTACGAGATGAGAATTCAAAGAGTTCTTATAGACCCTTGTGTATTAAAATATAGTGAATCAAAAGTATATGCAAATGTGAATTCCTCTTTTCTTTACTTCTCTTTAGCACTTTAAGGGAAACTGTAAGTTAAATTAATAATTTTTCCGCTTTTTCTGTAAAAAGAAGATGCGTGCCGGAGTCTATAAAATGAACTTCCTGCCGAAACCTGTGGCGATGATACCAAGTATTAGTGTGAATGTTGATGGGCTAAATATATCCGCTTTGATGAGGTTCAGGTTTTTAAATGGTTTCATCACATTAGATGCATCAAAACTGGCTAAAATGAAAAATAAAACCATGCTAAGTTTTAGTGTAAGTGTAAAACAAGGTATAAAAGCTCAAACAGACATTACAATAAATTAGTAGGTGGTGATCTCAAAGGGTAATCAACCACTTCCTGAAGTCTGTTCTCTCACTCAAAGCACATTTGCAATTTTGCACAAGCAAATACACAATCAAACACATAAACTCCACCCACACTGGTACAAACTTCTATTGCTGATGAGTAATTCTACAACTGCAGTTTGAAGTCTTAAAAAAGGTACCCGTCAATCCACAACAAGTGTACTTGCTAAAATCAATTTAAAAGTGTCACGTTACCGTAACATACTCAAGTTACCTCAGCGCTGTCATTTGATTTTTGACTGATTGTGTATTCAACAATAAACCAAACTACAATTCAGAAGAAATGTGAGAAATGTGTCCCCCGTGTAGTTTATTCCACAAAGAGATATAACCAAACTTAATGCCTGATGACCCTCCTGAAATAAACAAGTCTTCCAGCCTGGTCATAGCTGGTTTACAGGCTGGTTTTAGATGGGTTTTGACCATTTCATTAGCTGGTCAGGATGGGAGACCAGCTGACCAACAAGCCAAAACCAGCTTGGCCAGGCTGGGACACTAGTTTGATCAACTCAGCCAGACAACTGCAGTTTGAAGTCTTAAAAAGGGTACCCGTCAATCCACAACAAGTGTACTTGCTAAAATCAATGTAAAAGTGTCACGTTACCGTAACATACTCAAGTTACCTCAACGCTGTCATTTGATTTTTGACTGATTGTGTATTCAACAATAAACCAAACTACAATTCAGAAGAAATGTGAGAAATGTGTCCCCCGTGTAGTTTATTCCACAAAGAGATATAACCAAACTTAATGCCTGATGACCCTCCTGAAATAAACAAGTCTTCCAGCCTGGTCATAGCTGGTTTACAGGCTGGTTTTAGATGGGTTTTGACCATTTCATTAGCTGGTCAGGATGGGAGACCAGCTGACCAACAAGCCAAAACCAGCTTGGCCAGGCTGGGACACTAGTTTGATCAACTCAGCCAGGCTAGGAGACCAGCTAAAACCAGCTTAAACCAGCTAAGACCAGCCAACCAGGCTGGTTTTAGCTGTTTTTTATTTTCCCCAGCAGGGATACAGCAACATATTCCAGCAACTTGAACGTCATCACTTGATTTTTGACTAGTTGTGTATTTAACAATAAACCAAAAGTATATTTTTACATTTCGGAAGAAAATTTGACTGGTTGAATGGGCAAAACTCGCTAGCGTTGTGGAGATTTAGATCCCCCGTGCCATTCATTCCACGAGGAGATACACTCTTAATGCCTGACGAAACAAATACAAATAATATGGATAAAAATATAACACTCAAATTGTTATAAGAATTCCTTTTTAAATAAAAAATAGGTTATTTGGATGCTCTACAGGCTAAGCTAATAGGCTAGTCAGCTAGCAGTATGATAGTATAACAAACAGTATGCAAAACATATGCTAGTATCTAAATAAATAAAGAATGAGAAATGTTTCATTTCACAGTCTATAGAGTCTATAGCTTTGGTTATATACTAATACATATAAGACATTGTCAATAACATTTCAGATGTGGAACCATTTTTTAGATTTTAAAGCAGGCACTGATGTTCACATTAAAAGTTTTTGTAGCCAATGGAATCACTTTAGGGTCCTAAATTGGACAATAAATGCGTAAACGGAATTCATTAAAACATCTGCACAGTGTTAATCATGTTGCTGTTTGGTTTTCTAGCCATTTTATCATTAGCTAATATGCTAAGTATTAGCATTTCTACTCGACTAGCTGCAAGATTTGAGGTATCATTTATGTCTGATGCAAACAATGTGAATGAATGAATGAATGACATTTATATTATTGTGGAATGAGTTACTCAACAAAGTTTAGTTCAAATCTTTAACCTCATATTGCAATATAATAGTGAGACTAGCCTTAGCAAGCACAGCTAATGGTTTAGTATAGCGATTTTATCTGTACAACATTATGAACTATATTTTATTATCTAGACTATTTAGTCTTTCGTTTAAGTACCTTGTTGACAGAAATAATCTTAATATTCACTTTTTAAATAAATGAGATTCTAGGCTAGCACAAATTACGTTAAGCTAAGTACCGTTTGATCAAAATGCAGATTTGATGGGTGTATTCAGTCTGACTGGGGTTGAAAGCTGTTACCTGTGTGTGGACAGAAAATAACTACACATGTACTAATTAACCCTGCTGGTTACGTTCCCTGTTTTTCTCCGACCTTTTCGACCTTCTCCAGCACCTTTCGAGCGACAGCTTCAGGACAAAACCAGCCCTCTGACCTGAAAGAAATCTTTGTTGCACTTGCAATCATATTTCTCATGTTTCGTGGCTGTCTGGCACTGGTCCACACGATGCTGTACCGCCTGCTTGCATAAACATCTCAGGGGCATAGTGCTGTGTGCTACTGATGGCTGCATCCCAATTCTGGGCCGTATGGTATACGAGATTAAGGTTAATGTGGCCTAAATCATAGTATGCTGAAAATAGTGTGCCAACCGTTGTTAAACAGAAGTATACTTTAACATACTTATAAAAAGAGTATGTATTATTCAAATAATAATATACTTTGAAAGAATATCCCGTGTGACCTGAATGTAATGCTTTCAGATACTTGTTAAAGGGATAGTTCACCCAAAAATGAAAATTCTGTCATTTAATTACTCACCCTCATGTTGTTCCAAATCCACAAGACCTCCGTTCATCTTCGGAACACAAATTAAGATATTTTTGATGAAATCTGAGAGCTCTCTGACCCTCCCATAGACAGCAAGGGTCCTTACACGATCAACGTCCAGAAATTTAGCAAGGACATCGGTAAAATAGTCCATGTGACATCAGGGGTTCAACCGTAATTTTACAAAGCTACGAGAATAATTGCGTATGCTGTTTTGTGTCAGCTGCGTCACGCGGATAAGCTGTTTACGTCGTTTACGCTTTGATTTGAACAAAAACAACGTATCGGCGTGGCGCAGCTGACACAAAACAGCATACGCAATTTACGTTCAGTGGATATTCTCCAAAATGGTGCTAGGGTGACGCGGAGGAGACGAATTGTTGAAAAAGAGCTCTCAGATTCCATCAAAAATATCTTAATTTGTGTTCCGAAGATGAACGGAGGTCTTACAGGTTTGGAACGACATGAGGGTGAGTAAATAATGACAACATTTTCATTTTTGGGTGAACTATCCCTTTAATTACAATTCAATTAAAATGTATTAATATTTAATACAATTAACCTGAACTTCTGAGTCTTTTTTTTTTTTTTTGGCCCACACAAGTACATTTTCATATGTAATTTCATAATTACCTCTATTGAATTTACTGACAAGCATTTACTGCAAACTAAAATATACTTAAATGTAATTTCTATTGAAGCTTATATACCAGGTATTTAAATATATTTGTAATTGCACATTTGTGGATGAGGTAGCAATTTAGTACATTTAAAATATATGAACTTTAGATGTAATATTGAATAACACACTACACTTAAAATAAAGTACTTTACA